ACAAGAAGAAAAAACAATTGAATTAATTTTCTAAATCTAAATAATAATGAATCGGTTTGTTGCTTTTTAATAATGCAATTGATAACAAGGGAAGGGATTATCTAGGCAATTAGAGACTAGCATCTTTAATTAGTGCAAAGTCCAAACTTTTTTTAAAACTTATTTGTACCAATATTGTTGTGGTTTTATACACTATGACCTTTTCTAGTCAATGTTACTTGGAAAAGAAATCAGTATATATGCACTCATATAAATTAAGTCAAAATTCACTTATAATCCAACCCATCACATTGTACAATACACAGACTGTATATGGGGGTGAAATGTCTAGGGGGTGAAATGTCTAGGGGGTGAAATGTCTAAGGGGTGAAACGTCTAGGGGTGAAATGTCTAAGGGATGAAACGTCTAGGGGTGAAATGTCTAGGGGGTGAAACGTCCAGGGGGTGAAACGTCTAGGGGGTGAAATGTCTAGGGGGTGAAGTGTCTAGGGGGTGAAATGTCCAGGGGGTGAAATGTCTAAGGGGTGAACAGTCTAGGGGTGAAACGTCCAGGGGGTGAAACGTCTTGATACCGGTTAATGCATCAGCCGTCAGCTGGCAGTTGAATTCGGGAATGCTACCTTACACCTAGTAACATGAGTAAATATGTCTACTTTGCGTTATAAATAATTTGAGTGGATCACTTGAATGTTTAAGTTTACTTATTTGTTTAAATGAACTTGAAGTTATCGCACTAAATTCTCATTACTTTCTTTCAGTTTGCACTATGGCAACATAAAACAAGTCATACATAATGTTCTGTGTGACAAACATATTTGTTTCTGAGTTTTACTTATTCATTGTTTTAGTTTCAACTAAGATATAAAAATAAGATATAAAATATGCAAAGTATACATGTATATTTAAGGCCACATCTTAAAGTGTTTGTCACCTTGAAGCTACATTCTCCCAAGAGATGTGTTCATCATATAGATGTGTTTATCATAGAGGTAATACAGACTTCATCTTATGAATGTACTCATAATACGAAAGTGTTCATCATATAGAGGCGCTCATCATTTAGGTGTTTATCATCATATAAGTATCATTGTATCATACAGGTGTTCATCATACATATTCAATTTTACAGATTTAATAGTTTAACTGTAAACATACTAATCATCATCACCATCATAATTCACTGGGGGGTATTGTGATGCAACAACACCGTGTTGTTGCATCAAGATGGCCAGACTTCCGGTGATAGATTTTCGTACGATGTTTTGTTTTCCCAATTTACACCCATTTCTAGGACGAGTTGCTCAATAATCATACACATGCAGTTAGCACATGATCTATATTTTTAAAAAACTGTCATTGGTATACATGTAGCATCATGAAGAAGCGATAAATTCGTGGTTTTAATTCCTCACTATTGATGCAACAACACCACTCTGTTTCTTATCGATGATGCAACAACACCAATGTGCTGATGCAAAAACGCCAATATAATGTATCATTGAACAACAAGAGAAACTGTTTTATGTTCTGTTTACAGGTGTAGGTCGGGACATGAATAAAACGCGTGAGTCAGTGGACCATGAACGAAACGTATTTTGTTTGGTTTCTTTGTCTATATCAAAGTTAAAAGGATATACAAGGCAAACTAAATAAAGTACAGAATCCCCGGGAGGCAATCTCATTGATATTGTATCTGAAAAATAAAGATTATACATTTTCTAGATTAATGCCCTTGATTTACCGTATGGAAATTGCTTACAAATAACTAATATAATTTTGGAAAGACAGCAGATATCAGTCATTTTGTGTTGTTAGTACCTCAATTGAAATACTCAATTCTGATTGGTTGATGAGCGGGCAACAAAATGTATTGTTAGTACCTCAACTGAAATACTCGATTCTGATTGGGTGATTAGCGGTCAAAATTATGTACTGTTGACCGCTACTAGGTACTGTTGACCGCTACTTCTGAAAAAAAGTTTCATGACGTCACAAAAAAACATGGAAGACGGACATTTTGTAAATGTTGATGAAATTGACTTTACTAGGCGACAAGTATAGCAAAGATACAAATAGAAACTTAAAATTAACATTAATTCACTAACGAGTACGCCGTGATGTGCCAAATACAGAGTTAAGCTTCTTGCAATGTCTCCATATTTTCTAAAAAAAATATTGCTAACGTGGTTCGGAGAAAAGGTTGTGAAATGAAGCCATGCCGATTGATGATCGTCGTCTATATGTGTATTATTAGTTTACTCGGACTAACAAAACAATTGTAGACCTCTCCATTCGATCAACCGATCAACCGTCAAAATCATATACCTCAACTGTAAACCTTGAAACTACTGTTGACCTCGACCTTCGGTCTCTGTCAACAGTATTTTTCGGTTTACAGTCTCGGTATACAATTTTGCCGGTTGGCCTCTGGGGAGGTCAACAATTGTAAACTGTTGACCACTACTAGGTACTTGACCCCTATTTTTGAAAAATTGTTTTTTTCATGTTGAAATTTTTTTAATTTTGAAAAAATAAGTTGTATAAAAAATTACAAGTATTCGACGGTTTGGGGATTTTTTGCTAAAATATGATACCTTTACTTATCAAATATGAACGTGATATTCGATTATATATTCGTCCAATTATTATATTATTTGGACTAACAGAACAATTGTTAACCTCTCTTTTCGGTCAACTGGCAAAAGTGTCCTCGACCTCTGGTCTTGATCAACAGTACTTTCAAGGTTTACAGTATCGGTATACAATTTTGCCAGTTGACCTCAAGAGGGGTCTACAAAGTATGATGTCATATATCAAGTTGAAGAGTTGTATACACTGCTCAGGAGTTTACGCTATCCAGGAGTTGTACATCAAGTTGTACATCAAGAGTTGTATAGGATGAGTGTTGGTTTAATGATATTGCAGTTATACAATGCTATTATATAAAAGTTATTTACTGAGAGGGATTCAATATTGGTTTTATTTCGAGAGACAATATGATATTTCCCGAGGCCCCGGGATATCTGGGATAACTGTACCCCTATCAATTTACCTTTTTGGGCCCTAAATCTTATCACTTTTGTTTACCTTTTTACTCAGTCGGAGAGAAGGAATCCAAAGAGAGCAATAATTCTACATGTGCGTCGTGTAACTAAACGGCCTCTCTAATAAAGTCAATTAGACGTTTTTACACGTTGGCTCTCCAAATTGTAGGAAATAAAGAATCATGTCATATTATATCATAGATGAAGCAATCATCCCATCAACATAAGCTCACGAATGTCACAGTTAAACTGTTTTAGTTATAATTTGATAAACAGTGGTAACGTACATCTACTAGTTTATCACTGTTTCAGAGATGGATGACAGATAATATCATGATAATATCCAATAGCTCATCATGTTTACCGAGAACGAAAGATGTTTGTCCACCATTTTGAATGATACTAACTGGAGTCAGGGTCATCAAGCTATGGAACAGTGGTTTATGAAAATAGATTGGGTTACTAATGCTTGCCATGTTAAAGGCGATTGAACTATGTTATAGAATAACGTCCAGTACATTATAATATGTAAAAGTATAAATTTTTGAAAACACATATAAAGGATCTTCGCCCGCAGGACGTGTATTTTGAATGCCTTGAGAAGAACGCAAATATGGGTAGGCTAATTGGTAACGGTATTGCAATAGTAGCATTTAAAAATCTGTTCCTCTCGAGATTTATGGTCTTCTGAAATTATACTATTAATTGGTGTTGCTGCATCATTGCTCAAATCTAGAGGGGTGTTGTTGCATCTTCGGTTTGGTGTTGTTGCATCAATAGTGAGGAACTAAAACCGTGAACTTATTGCTTCTTGGTGATGGTACATGTATACTAATGACAGTTTCTTTAAATATAGATCGTGCGCTAACTGCACGTGTATGGTTATTGAGCAACTCGTCCTAGAAATGGGTTTAATTGGGGAAACAAAATATCGTACGAAAATCTATCACCGGAAGTCTGGCCATCTTGATGCAACAACACGGTGTTGTTGCATCACGATACTCCCCAGTGATAATTGTCATCACATTAGACATTTCCAATTATTCTAGAATTTCAATTAGTTGCAGTCCTTATTTAGTTATCAGTGTTTATACTGAATTTTCATTAATTAAAACATTGAATACTTAGATTGACCTTTGACCCTTTAGTATACACTATAATCAGAGATGACCAATTAATTGATAGTGCAGATAGACAACAGAGAAGTTGGCTAAACAAACTGAACGAATCACAAACATATTCTCTGAATTTTGATGCTTTACACAATTCTTAATATATTATACACAGATAATAAGAAACATTTTTTAGGATAAGATGCTTATGATGTGTATTATATTACGTATAGGAGGTATCAGCTGTCCGCCACATGTCAATGTGAATTTTGCCATCTGATACATTAACAATTGAACATGTGATTTATATATTTATGTACAAGTTCGTACTCTGTTGTTTTATATGGTGTCTGACATATGAACTTTACACACCTTGTCATTACATGTACATGTATATGCTTTTAAGTTCAATGAAATATCCAGAATAGTCGTTCACCAAGCTAAGATCATCAGAAGCCAGCAGTTTCTGTTTCCTACAAGGACGTTTTAAGAATAGCGGAAATACTGGAATATTTATCTATTATGGAAACTTTTGTTAACATATGTAGCTAGTGTTACTAAACAATAATAGCAGAAAGGATTAAAGTTGCTGTACTACAAAGCATTAAGTGTAGTCCTTGTTAAACACATAGGCTATATTTAACATATGGATTGTTATTGCCAACTCAGCAGCAAATTACCAATAAATGTATAAATCATAATAAAATCTGGACATCTCCAAAAGATATAACTTAAACAGAAGGATTTCACTTGGATTATATATACTTCTGCTCAAAATGGATAATGTTGCTCAAGCTAAATCTTATATAACCAGTACTCAAAATGCTCTTCTTGTTCCTAATAGGGAGTTTGGCAGAAGGAAGTACTTCCAAGTCAATATGAACTTTGGACGCAACCAGGACAAAACTTTACAGGCAAAATGTAAGTACAATAAAAATATTGTTTGTTTCAAAACTATTTATTTAATGAGTGGTTTGTATAAGGTTGCAGGCAGGCATAGTTACTGGATATTGCGTGGTACAAAAAGAAAAATCAGGAACCCCTCCCCCAATTCAGTGTTATCCAGGGGGGAGAGGGGGGGGTTCTCAGTACAACATAACATCCCATGTCTATGAGGAGATGAGTATTAAAGGGGTAGATGTGCAGTTTGTTATACTGCCACAAGAAAACATGGGCCGTTACCTACTGGTCTCTGTATACAAATAGAGTTTTAGGTACTTTTTGCTATGCTGTATTATTGTTTTAATACGAGATCTGAGCTTTTCTATTATATGATGTATTCAAAACTTGACCAATCTACAATTTTTTTCTATCTACACATTATGGATTTTGTCATCAATGGGAAAAATCAGGGATTTCATAAAAATTATCTCCTATCTCCCCATTATAATCACAATGTGATGAGTCATTTCATCATATAACAAATAGTAAATGGTGTGGTATCTCTGGGTTAATTGGTGTTTATTAACCCTTCATTTTATTGAACTGATTAAACTTGGCATCTTCACATGTTTTGCTTTATATGTACTACATATTGTAATGTTGATCAAAATCTTGCCATATATATAAGATACTACTGAAAACTTGGTTTATTAATCATTAATTTAGTTTTATTGATTGACATATTAAATTGCACTCTATATTTTCTTGATTTATAGAAGTAGAGCTCACCAGTGAGTGCTTAGCCTTGAAGTGTTTCAACTTTAAAACTTTATTAAGATAAACATGTTACAAAAACATAAATGCCATCTTCCAAGATGTTGTACCTTTAGAGACTGAAGTATAGCTATACGGATGGGACACTCATAACTTTTTTGTTACATGATATTTTAATTTGAAATTATCTACACTGATCAATAAATTCCTATAGATAACACCGCTGAAATATCAGCCTTTAATAATAAATTTCTTAGTTTTATAACAATTAGTTCAGGACTTATGGGACAACCCTCGTATAATTGTTTTATTAATGAAAATGTTCAAAGTTAAAATATGTGCCATATCAGTCATAGCTGTTGAGATGCTATTTACATCAAAGATAATAATATATCCAAAACATCCTATTTGTTTACTGTTTTAAGTCTGACATGTTTTTGGTATCTTTAAGAAAATATTTTCATTTTATTTGTTTTCTTGTAAAACCTGAGCAACCATGTGTTTGGATGGATCTGAGTATTGCTTTACAGACACTGGGTTCATTGTGTTACTGACTTTTTTAGTAACTTTGGGAGATACTTTATTTTCACAGAAGTTTTAAATTGTCTGGGGTATTTTTTCTGGAAAACCGGATACAAAGAGCAATTTTAGATAAAGCACAAGACTACGTCAGACACTTGGTTCAATTTTATTTCAGTGTCAAAATAGTATGCCTTATGACATGACCCACTTTTCCATCTCTTTCAAACAAAAAATGATCTGAAATCACAAAAATCTAAATATCACTTAGCATTTTTCAGCAGTGGGAAAGTACATCTAAACTTGTTTGAGTATCAATATTTTCAAGTCAAGGAACAGAGTACAAATGTATACATAATAAGTTATTTGATAGATATCACATCACGTCATCATTGATTCCCTGGATACCCCAATATTCCTGTTCTCTCATGAAATTGCTTAATTTTACCAGTCTTACTGTAATAACGTTCAGTAATCCAAGTTTTGTGAGTTAACTCAAGTTATAGCAAACTCACAAATTGATCTTTCATATAATATAGAAAAGACAAACTTATGTCTACTTATCAAGACAGCCCTAGCTTGCTCAACCTGAGTTGCACCTCTAATAAGTTGGATACATCTCTGAATATTTTCTATTGCAGAACTGTCTATACATGTAGAGATGTAGTATCTGTTTAACACATCCCTCTGCGGAGTCATTGTCCAATTTTCTTCTCTACTCATATATCTCTCAAAGACCTCTAATTTGATAAACTCAAAATAACCAAGAATATGTTCTCACTAAAGTGGATTAGTTGCATGATTGACTAACACAGTTTGAGTATGCAATCATTTCCATTGATACTGCACTTGTCGGTGAGATCAGAGATTCATTGTAAACTGAAAGAGTGAAGACGATGTTCTCTTTTAAGAAGTGAAGTCGAACGAATGCAAAACGTAGATTTTTTATGTGTAAATGCAGTAATTTGATTTTAGAGTATAAAATGCCTGGAGTGAAGAGTAAGTTATCTCATTTACATTCGGGAATTAGATGGGGAGTCAATTGTCAATGAGCTCCAGGTCAAACAATATGTTTAACAACACGTTTTAAACATACATCATATATTAAACATACATGTATATTTTTATTGATTTCGTACTTTATTATTTAGATTTTAGGGAATGAGAAATTATAATTGGCATAGGCAAATAATACTGTTTGCGTTTGAAAAATACTTTTTGAAATGCCCTCATGTCAGTGGCTCATAACAAGTTAAAACAATAAGATGATAGGTAAAATAAATATGATTTACCAAATCATGTCATGGACAATTCTGCTGCAATCGTTTCTTATTCATTTTTGTATATAGGATTCATTTCCATAGAAAATATAAATATTACTAAGAAACAAAGTAACAAGTAAAATATGAGTTGCATCTTTTTAATTTAGATTTTTTAAATATGAAAAATTCAACTATTTATTCTAAACAACTCAAATATTATTTCCTGGCGAGTGCCTAGAATCTGATAAATGATAGCTGACAAGATGCTCCTAGATAAGGAAGCCTTTGACAATCAATAATTCAACAGTCTGGTACCAGGTTTTATTATGCACCTCATTAAAATACTCAAATCTGATTGGTTCTTAGTTGCTTGTAATTTGGCAATACTCTGCTCTTTTCTGAAAACTGCCGGATATTTTTTTAATATCTGACCCTTTCGAGAAAAAGGGTCGGATATTTTTGTCAATGTTTTTGCAACATTCCCACTTCAGAGTTTTATTTCTTAATAACTGGAGTACTACTTAAAGCTTACATCTGAAACTGGCGGAAAATAGAAGAAAAAAATGCACTTAATCAATCAAAATTACCCTTATCATTCAAAAGTTACATATAATTCTGCAAGAACGTCTCGAATAAATAAAAATTAAATTCCCGGGGCAAATATTTTCGTCCAGTGTAGCGAATAAACTGGCCGGAAGTCGTTTGAGTTTTGAAAAAAAATAAAATAAATGTCAAAATAATGTCAACTAAACGACAGTTTAAGCCTGTACTCCAGTAAGTACTCCACTTAACTTTGATTGGGAGGTGCATAATAAAACAAATACTGGATGATCAGAAGCTGGATATGGCCAGAATTTTAGTAACTTTGGGAAATACTTTATTTTGACAGAAGTTTAAAATTGTCTGGAGTATTTTTTCTGAATACCGGATACAAAGGGCAATTTTAGATAAAGCACAAGACTATGTCAGAGACTTGGTTCAATTTTATTTCAGTGTCAAAATAGTATTTATTCCATAGTTAGCATGATATTCATAGGATAACATGTGAAAATAAAAACGGTATTTTTGGAATCAGTGGTAAAATATGATATTTTTGACAAATTTTCACTTAACCATAGCATATGGTTTTTTAGCCATGACATACGGCGTCGTATGCGATTGTTTATGGATTTTTGCTACTTTAGACTCAAAACGAGGCTTAGTGTCAACATTGCCGGGTCGTTTGGAAAATTCGAATTAAATCACTTAATTTCCGACGATTCTGATGATGACTTTATCTATGGAATTAAAAGAACATCCTATGATTTACTCGTGATATGATTTTAATCCACTCATGGATATTGATATCTGCACTCTCTCACTACGCTCGCTCGTATCATATCCATTCGTGGATAAAAATCATATCACTCATAAATCATAGGATATCCTCTATTTATGCCTTATGACATGATCCACTTTTCCATCTCTTTCAAACAAAAAATGATCTGAAATCACAAAATCTAAATATCACTTAGCATTTTTCAGCAGTGGGAAAGTACATCTAAACTTGTTTGAGTATCAATATTTTCTTGTCGAGGAAGAGAGTACAAATGTATACATAATAAATTATTTGATAGATATCACATCACGTCATCATTGGTTCCCTGGATACCCCAATTCCTGTTCTCTCATGAAATTTCTTAAATTTATCAGTTTTACTGTAATAACGTTCAATAATTCAAGTTTTGTGAGTTAACTCAAGTTATAGCAAACTCACAAATTGATCTTTCATATGATATAGAAAAGACAAACTTATGTCTACTTATCAAGACAGCCCTGGCTAGCTCAACCTGAGTTGCACCTCTAATAAGTTGGATACATCTCTGAATATTTTCTATTGCAGAACTGTCTATACATGTAGAGATGTAGTATCTGTTTAACACATCCCTCTGTAGAGTCATTGTCCAATTTTCTTCTCTCCTCATATATCTCTCAAAGACCTCTAATTTGATAAACTCAAAATAACCAAGAATATGTTCTCACTAAAGTGGATTAGTTGCATGATTGACTAACACAGTTTGAGTATGCAATCATTTCCATTGATACTGCACTTGTTTTGTCCCCCCCCCCCCTATAGTCTGAGGCACATATTCCTGTAATGAAAGATGGAAAGGACTTTTTTAGATATGTGTACCCCAATCCTAGTCTTCTAATTTTTTTATTTGTAAATGCAGCAATATGATTTTAGAGTATAAAATGCCTGGAGTGAAGAGTAAGTTATCTCATTTACATTGGGGAATTAGATGGGGAGTCACTTGTCAATGAGCTCTGGGGCAAACAATATGTTTAACAACATATTTTAAACATACATCATATATTAAACATACATGTATATTTTTCATACTTTTTATTTAAATTTTAGGGAATGAGAAATTATAATTGGCATAGGCAAATAATACTGTTTGCGTTTGAAAAATACTTTTTGAAATACCCTCATGTCAGTGGCCCATAACAAGTTAAAACAATAAGATGATAGGGAGAATAAATATGATTTACCAAATGATGACATGGACAATTCTGCTGCAATCGTTTCTTATTCATTTTTTGTATATAGGATTCATTTCCATAGAAAATATAAATATTACTAAGAAACAAAGTAACAAGTAAAATATGAGTTGCATCTTTATATTTTGTTTTTTTAAATATGAAAAATTCAACTATTTATTTAAACAACTCAAATATTATTTCCTGGCGAGTGCCTAGAATCTGATAAGTGATAACTGACATGATGCTCCTAGATAAGGAAGCCTTTGACAATCAATAATTCAAAAGTCTGGTACCAGGTTGTATTTGAATATCAGAAATGTAATATCAGATTTTAAATGCAGCAGGTTATTTTTAGTTTTATATTAGACCAGGAATTATGTCTTACTATACTGTAATTTCAATGAATAAATTGACTTTGGAGTTTATAAAGAGTAAAATTTATGTTTTCCCTGCCATGCTCTTTTAATGAACAAAAAGTGAAAGCATCTACTTAATCAGTACACTGTATATCCATTTGTATTATATGTATGCTATCTCATACCTTAAAGTGCTTAAAAACAAGGTAATCTAATATAATTCAATTTCAAATGTTTCAGTGGGGAAGCAATGGGTTCATCCAGCAGAAGCCATGGTTCGAGGACACATCGTCTACAATGTGAAGGTAAGGGAAATCTGAAGCATGTTCAGCTACAGCAAGTTAATAAATGTCATTCATATACACAGTAAAACTGTCTAATCTTAATGCCTCTTTGACTGGTCAAAAGTGTTCAGATTTGCAGATGTTCACATTTCAAGGTTTCATAAACATGTAAGTAAATGGGAGGTAACAATTTTGGGACCAAGAAAAAGTGTTCACATTGAGAGCTTTGGATTAGACAGGTGTTCGAATATACAGGTTTTGCTTTACTTGTAATGCATGTGCTATACTCAGTACATTTCAAATGTACTCAATTCCAAACCTGCTTACAGTAAATACCTGAGTTGACTTCCATAGAATCTAATTTCAGCAGGTTGTCTGCCAAGGAATGACGTCATTGATCAGTCTAGATCCGTCAGTAAATATGAAAATGTTGGTGAATAGGGATTGACATAAGCAATAATTTTTGCAATTACTTTATTGATCAAATAAGGCCAAAGGGTTGATTCAAAACTGTGACATATTGTTATAGTCTCCAACTTTCGGTGTCTGTAACAAATGGTAGGTGGTGACATTTTGCATGTAAATGCCTTATTACCACTTGTAACTGAAAAAGTAAAAAGGGAAACATTTGAAAATAATAGAAAAGAAACCCTTATAAATCAGTTGAAACATGTTAAACCAACATGAAATGCCAAAAGTCTAAACAATGTTTGAATTCATTTCAACCTGTTCATTTTTTCACAGTTTTTGGGTCACTGTGAAGTGGACCAACCAAAAGGTACAGAAGTCGTTAAAGATGCTATCCGTAAAATGAAATTCAACAAACAACTAAAGAAAGCCGAAGGTCAGAAACCTCCAAAAGTTGAGCTCACTATATCTGCTGATGGCGTCACTGTACAGGACCCTAAATCTAAAGTAAGTCTTTGGTCTTTGTTTTTAAAATAATTCTGTGTTACGATAGAAATAAATATGCTTTGAATTCTAACTACTAGCTTTGTATCTACTTAGTATAAATGGCATATAATAGTTCAATAATAAAACTCCATCAATATAAGACCATCTATTTACCTGGGGAATAAAGACTGTATCTAAAACGTCCAAGTACATAACCCTTGTGTATTGAAGCTAACCAAGTATACATGTATTTTTTTCAGATTATTCAACATCAGTATCCACTACACAGAATTTCCTACTGTGCTGATGACAAGGTCGATAAACGTGTATTCACCTTCATAGCTAAAGATACAGAACACAACACCCATCAGTGCTTTGTCTTTAACAGTGAAAAATGTGTAAGTAGCAATGCTATTATCTCAAATGAGTACCTGAGTGCAATACACAGAAAAATCTTCTCTCAATATTCTGATTTTGTTGGACATATTTGTAACAGCACTATGAACCAGTGTTTTCCCACATTTTAGAATTTTGAAGTCATAATTCAGCATAAATAAAGTTGTATCTGATATAATTTGATAGTTTACAAAATAAATAATTATCTACAATCAATACATATGGCAAAACATAATCACATTTAACTCCAGTATTTATCTGTTTATAATTAAAATGTTTCATGAATAAACAAAAATACAAAATTATTTTTGAAATTAGAAGTTACTTTTCTGAGGATATTTTATTAATATAGCCAGCTGTGATATTTTATTAATTGTCTCATACAGTTACTCTTCCCTAATAGCTCGTAAAAATGAGTTAATTTATTGAATTCATTATTAATTATTATAACACACCTGAAGAAAATAACAAAGTAGCATTCCATTTTGATGAGAGGTTTTCATATTTAATACGCCTCTGGCGAGATGTGGCTGTTAAGTTTCCACACTGAGACACTATGATCCTCATTTTGACATCGTTGGAGGAATTAAAATGAACTGAAAATCTTGGACTTTCACTTAATTATTTTCTCAAGTTTCAGTAAATCGGAAATGAATACACAACGAATGATGTAGGTCTGTTCATAGTTGTTATCTTATCTAAACCTGATCCGGTGTACATATACAATATACATGTACTGGTATTGTCTATGGGGTATCTCGCTATAATGCCTTCTAATAAGCTGCCTTCTGTGTTTTCAAAGGCTGAGGAGATTACATTAACAGTTGGTCAAGCATTTGATTTGGCTTACAAGAAATTCTTGGACTCATCATCAAAAGATATGGACATGAAGAAACAGTATCTTTTACTACAGAAAAAGGTAAGTCTAAATATAGTGTACTGTACTTCTAAATACACTGTACTATGTTACATGGTCTGATGTATATAATCTGTTTTTGAAATGATCTAATGTATGCTACATGGTCTGATGTATATTACATGTCTTTATATGTATGTTACATTTTGTGATATATGATACATAGTGTCATATCATGACATCTAAAGAGTCAATAAGATATATACATCTTGTATATTTAATGTATGTTACATGAACTAATATACATGTAGTTATATTCTCTGATATATGTTACATGGTCTAATGTATGTTACATGGTCTTATGCATGTTACATGGTCTTATGTATGTTAAATGGTCTAATGTATGACTCGTATGTCACAAAGTCTGATGTATATTGCATGTCTATTGCATGTCTGTTACCAGGTATGTTACATTCTCTGATAAATGTTACAATGTCTGATGTATCTTACATATACATGGTTTGATGTATGTTACATTCTCTGATACTGTTCTGATATATGTTACATGATCTGATGTATGCTCAATCGTCTGCTGTACAAGTATGTACTTGTATGTTCAGTAGTCCAATGTATGCTCTGATGTATGTTCAATCGTCTGCTGTACAAGTATGTACTTGTATGTTCAATAGTCCAATGTATGCTACATGGTTTTATGTATGTTACATGATCTGATGTCTGTTCAATCGTCTGCTGTACAAGTATGTACTTGTATGTTCAATAGTCCAATGTATGCTACATGGTTTTATGTATGTTACATGATCTGATGTATGTTCAATCATCTGCTGTACAAGTATGTACTTGTATGTTCAATAGTCCAATGTATGCTACATGGTTTTATGTATGTTACATGATCTGATGTATGTTCAATCGTCTGCTGTACAAGTATGTACTTGTATGTTCAATAGTCCAATGTATGCTACATGGTTTTATGTATGTTACATGATCTGATGTATGTTCAATCGTCTGCTGTACAAGTATGTACTTGTATGTTCAATAGTCCAATGTATGCTACATGGTTTTATGTATGTTACATGATCTGATGTATGTTCAATCGTCTGCTGTACAAGTATGTACTTGTATGTTCAATAGTCCAATATATGCTACATGGTTTATGTATGTTACATGATCTGATGTATGTTCAATCATCTGCTGTACAAGTATGTACTTGTATGTTCAATAGTCCAATATATGCTACATGGTTTTATGTGTGTTACATGATCTGATGTATGTTCAATCATCTGCTGTACAAGAATGTACTTGTCAATAGTCCAATGTATGCTACATGGTTTTATGTATGTTACATGATCTGATGTATGTTCAATCATCTGCTGTACAAGTATGTACTTGTATGTTCAATAGTCCAATATATGCTACATGGTTTTATGTATGTTACATGTTCTGATATTGTATGTTAGATATTGTCTGATGTATATTATAGGTCACTTTGCTACAACATGAGAATGCAGAGTTGAAAAAACGCCTCACTGAGATGGAGAAACTGAAAGACCGGGCAGATGTAGAGCAGTATAAACAGCAACAAGGGGTAAGTAGTCATATATCATTACTTAAGAAATATAGACCGAAGAGCAGGGGTACTATTGTACGTTTTCTGTACCCCAAACGACCGAAGGGAGTGAGGGGTTCGAAAGCTTTTGTGCCTAGCCCTAAGGGGTGTATTCGACAATAGTACACCTGCTCTGAGGTCTATATTACGATTCGAACATGAAAACTCACCAAAATGTTTCGAATATTCATTATGGTCCGCCATTACTACGGCCTGCCATTATGATGTCACACATTACACGTATTACCAGGGGTTCGCGAATATACCCCGGGTGAAATTTTTTTATTTGATAAAATCAAATGGACTGTTTATTGTTATGCATCATGAATTTTCATCCAGGTAACAAGGCCATCATTGATAACATGTAGAAAACAAAGGTAATGATAGAAATGTTCATGCAATTGTTTTGTAGATTAGCAATGTAACATCCTCCACTTCACAAAATGGTGCAGATGATGATCACATCCAAGTAGTACAAGGGTGGACGTCTCAAACACCTGCTCAAGAAAATACTCCTCAGGTAGGAAACACTGCAAATATGTACTCTACATTTCAAATACATACACTAAATAGTACATGTACCACTGTTCAGCACATGTACATGTATATGTAAATAATTTCTTAATTCCAATCTATTATTTCCCTTTTCATTCATATGGATGCAACAAACTTGTGATTTAGATGATGCATGTAGGTCAGAATAATAATGGATGTCCCTTATTGCCCCAATAGAGATTTTACATTTTGGCATGCCAACCTAAGGTCCTAACCTAAGATGGCATGGGTGCACTAAGGTCCTATCACTTTTGGAAGAGTTTATTTTCATTCATAAGGTAGTATAGGAGCCTACATTTTATAAGCACAACATTTGAATACACACTCAGTGGAGCCAGTTCCTTGAATAAAACCTAGACATTGCAAATCTATGTAGTAAATATACTAGAATAGTATATAACTTATCACTATGCAAAAGACCCCATGCAGAACAGTTCTAGTGATAAAGACAATCTTCCCATTACAAACCAAAGGCTTTACCAAAACGCCCAATAAATCACTATGAATTTCTCTATTATTACAGACAATTATAGTTCGTTTATTGACTAAATTACACAAACAGACACATTTCTAAAAAAATATTACTTGGAAATACGGTACTTATAATTAACCATTGGGTTCCATATACAAATTAAAATGTGTTGGTTCATGCATGCACATTGATGAATAAACAAAATATTTGTTCATACAAACTAGAGAACATAAATCATCTGCGTTCATACACACTGGAGAAAGTACATATTATTTGTTGATACAAAATGTGTGTTCATAAACAATGGAGTACATGTACATGATATTTGTTCATACATACTGGAGAAAGTATATACACAGGCGTGTTGGTTCATATACATGTTCATACTGGAGATATAACGTAATGTCTCTTCATACAATATATTGATTCTGAAACATTGGTGAATAAAAATATAAAATATTGGTTTAGGCACATGGGAAATGAACCTAGTTTCGGTTCATACATACCTGAGAAAGTATATACACAGGAGTGTGACTCAGAAAATGTGACTAAAACAGTTAAAAGTTGGACTTTTGGAAAGGTCACCAAACAGAATCTATTGCATTTTTCAGAAAGTGTGCCAAATATATTATTTGAAATGATACGAGCTTTGAAAATCTGAATTCATTCCTAGAAATAGAAAAAAATGAGAAAACTGATTTAGAAAGCAATCCATTTTCTTTTTATGCTCACACTTTTTGTTTCATCAACTTGTCAAAATTTCGAAGCTCGTATGATTTAGAGCAATATATATGGCACATTTTTTGAAAAATTCCGAACATTCTGTATGGCGACATTTTTAAAGGTAAACTTTTTAAGCATTTTTCAGTCACAACTTCAGTCACAACAAAGTCTCACATGATGTTTAGAGTCATTCTGAGCATGTTCATTGTGATCCTGGTCATGTAAATGAGTAGTAGTAAAACTGATTGATGGGCAAAACAGAACTCTATTCAGTTTTAAAAAAATCGAATATCCACATGTTTTTTCATTTCCTGTTTTGTGTAAATTTCTGATAACTACTTCCTTAACCCACACTGGAGAACTGTTAGTTTATACACCCTGAAGAATGGAGAAAATATGACGTTTGAGATGTTTAAGATGTTTGATTTATACTGAACAATCATACAAACAAGAGAGACTATGAGAATATTGATTAATCCAATCTGAGTAATATGATGAATAGTTGGTTCTTCAAAATAAGAGGTTTACTTAGATTTTGAATATCAATATAGATTTGTATCAAGTGTAATAAAGAATCTGATCTTCGTAACTTACTTAACTTTAAGCATACGGATTAATATTCAATGGATTTACATTTAATGCAGAGTTCCTGTGACAGTGGCATTTATTTTTAGTGATCAAGAAAGTACTTTGAACGCTCCCGCCAAGTTATATAGGAAGACGTCAGTCTCAGAGCATTTTCAAATGAAAATCAGAATTCTGATAAACATCGCATCTAAAATCATGTCTGTGTCTATGATGCAAGAAGAGAGGGTCATGGTATTCCATGATGGAGCATTTTGGAAACCCTTCTTTATAAAATGTGTAAACCATTCTTAGAAATTGCAATACTGAAATGGGCTATTGGTATGCACTGTGTACAAGTAATACCGATTGCTCCGATTTTCACTACGGCGCCCTGCCGATTGAGTATTTTGTTCAAAATTGAATACAATTTTGAACAAACGGAGCAAATGTGACGCAGGCATCAGTGTAGTATGAATTCATTTTGTCAGGATACCAGTACTAAGTTTGCAAACATGCATGTCAACTATGGCCAATCAGAAGAGTATACCCCTTCTATATGATAATATAAACCCTTCCTACACCTTGGTTTAGCTTTGGATCACTATGCTATCACTATGTGGCAGAAATGCATTCTGATTGGATATAAATGATCACATGACCTTAGTTCACCTTAGTTCAGGAGATGGCATGCCAAAATGTAAAATCTCTATTAATATAAATGTTATGTCAGTCTAGTGCATTGCACCTCTCAATGTAAACACTTTGCTATTCCCAGAAGAATTCATTTTTTCTATTTTAATCTAAAGTAGTATCCAGCCTTAGCTTCATTTAAAATCTGGTGCGTTGTTTATATTTCTATATTTCTCATTTCAGTCGCAGCCAACAGTAGGTAGGAAATTAGAAGGTCTTGTATTTGAGGACAACTTCAATGGTTCACCTGCTACTACTACTAATGCTGCTCCATCTACAAATGCTGCTCCACACACCAATGGCACAACACTGAAATCTACACCAACAAACAACCCACCGACCACAATGCCCACTTGTAAGTGTACTGTTAGATTAATCAATTGTGCAACAATCAGAAGGATGAAACACATTTGGAATTATCCCCTTGCCTCTTTTTTTGAATTACTTTATATGTATATATTACTCAAAATAAACAAAAATTTCTGTATATTACAAATGTAAGCAATATCGTAAATCTGGCTGGCTCGCTGCCTTTTAAGGTATTTGACCAACTTTGGATGTTTGGCTGATTTAGTAACAGCAATGATTATGATCTTTATCGTGGTACATCATTTTAATTTGTGGAAAACCCTTCAGAATTAAGAAACCCCTTTTCAAGATTGAATGACCATTTATGTTACATAAAAGAGGCATGTTGTGTTGAGGCACGATGTTGTGTTGAGGCACGATGCTGTGTTGAGGCACGATGTTGTGTTGAGGCACGATGCTGTGTTGAGGCACGATGTTGTGTTGAGGCACGATGTTGTGTTGAGGCACGATGTTGTGTTGAGGCACGATGCTGTGTTGAGGCACGATGTTGTGTTGAGGCACGATGTTGTTTTGAGGCACGATGTTGTGTTTGTAGTACAACCCCCACCTTCTACAGCAAGACCAAGACCTCAAGCAGGCAATTCTCCAGCCCAGGTGCCACCCCCAATAGCAAAGCAACAGCAGCAGACACAACAACAGCCCACCCCACAGAATAACCAGCAAGGTAAGGCCAGGAGGCTTTTCTCAAAACATTTTAGTAAAATCCATTATCGCTATAGAAATCATTTTTTACAAGATTATTTATTCAACACATATTCGAGTCAAATATTCATTTAAATTTTATCAAAATATGCGATAAATAAGGGTTATGTACTGGGAGGTTTTGGATATGGGGTTTATCCAGAGGGAGATATGCATATCTACCTGAGGGACCGTAGGGACAGAAGGTAGATGTGCATATCTCACGAGGGATGAACCCAATATCCAAACCGACTGTACATAACTGCTTTATCCTATACCAAGTAGAATTTTCAGTGAAATTACTGGAAGCGGGAAGATATGCACCGAAGCGGGAAGATATGCACCGAAGCGGGAGATATGGCAGAAGATATGGAGGTTCTGGATATGGAAACCTCAAAATCAGGATACGGGATATATCTTACCAACTTATCTCCCTAAAACTCTACTTGGCATAGGATAAAATATGTTATTCTAGGTATTCCCTGAAATATCTTTGCATTTAGTTTCAAATCTTTGCTCCTTGAATTTTTAACCATTGATGTACATACTTTAGCTTTGGTGGATATATTTGGGGCACCACCTATGCAACAACAGCAGCAACAGAAACAACAACAGCAACAATTTGATCCTTCAGTCCAGCAACAACAACAGCCAGCAAATGATCCATTTGGAATGCCATCATTCAACCCCTCCACACAGCAGTTAGACTCCCAGATCTTCCAGGTCAATCAAGAGATGATGGATTTACAGGTAAATGTCCCCTATGCCCTTAGGACTGGAAATCACATGGTGGTTATGTCTTATGAAAAATATGGGTTGAAATAGCAAATGCCAAATAATGTTAACATTGTTAGATGGTCTAATCAAGATCATTCCCCATCTTGCTTCCATCCAATTCATATCCATTGCCACCATGAGACTTGCCTTTGTATGACCATACACCTCAATGGCCAAGTAACTATACATACCATGTTTGGTTGTATTTTGCATGAATAAGTTCTCACACATTAGTTTAAACTCCATTATATATAATATGTTTTAGCATGGGAAGGATAGTTTGTTAAGGTTATTAAAGGTGCACAGTACTTTATTGAAATGCTTAGATTATTCATGTTGAATATTGCTTGGTTTTTTATGTAATTAGCCTCCATGAATTATATTTTGTGTTGTTCACTTGTGATTTTGTTCATACTAAAAGACTATTCCAAATAAAACACTACATGACGGAATGCATGGAGCACTTTAAAAATTGTTCTAAAAAACTAGATCTCTCTCTTTGGATCTCTATTAAAAATGAAAGTGTTTCCGAAACTTGAGGAGGGGTTGTCACAAGTTGATGAAATAAACTGTGACCCCTGAAACCTTTCCATGTTTATCTCTGGACTGATTAACTAACATTGCTTTGTTTCTTCCAATGCATGGTGTGTAGGTGGGCTTCAGCCAGGGTTTATCTTTTGGAACTGACGATTTCTCTTTGGATGACCTTGACCCTTTGAAGAAGTGACCTTGAGAAGAGGGCCACGTATAGAGACTATGGATCTGATTGTACTATGCTTACAGCACCATCTATTAGGATATTTTTTTGCTAATGTTAAGTTTCTTGTGCAATATTTGTGTATAGTATGCCATAGCTTGCAATTGCAGTACGTATGACTTATAGAATTGAATAATACTATGTGATCTTTTGAATGTTTGAATGATCAGATTGAGGATGTGTTATAAGGATTTTAGATTTACTGGTAAAAATTAGTAATTATCTGGTGGCTCAGTTTAAGTTTAATTCAGTATTAATCAATGGATGAGTGCTTATAACACAGCCTGATCAGAATGTAACATGTTTCTCAGATGAAGTGACATATCTGAACTGTAATCTGCATACATCAATTAACATGTACATTTTGTAAGTCAACTATTTTCTATGAATGACTAAATAAAAGTAATTTTTTTAGAATTGTGATTATTTTTTGTGTATGATTTAAACTAATGGCTTTGTGGAACATGCTTTGAGTTCATTTATACTAACCCCAGCATAAGGGAGTGTTAGTTTATTAATAATATATACATCATGCATATGTAAGGTTTCTTTTATGTATATGGGTATTTACTGCTTCCTAAACCAAGTGTTTCATATATTATGTAATGTGAAGGCAATGTAACTCAATGTACATTGAATTAAATGAATCGTGAAATATAAGATTGTTAACACTTAAACATTTTGATGAGTAAATAATGAGTACTATGTACTCAATTACATTAAAACAGTCACTGTTAATAAAGGTCTTGAGTAACCAAAATAAGTAGGTTGATTGAGAGAATTGGTTGATCTTGGCACAACCATGACAGCCTACTACTATCGTCAAAATGCAAGTTATAAATTGGTTGTGTTAATATACATCCAAATCCCTTAAGCTTGTGTGTAATGTTTTTATCAAATATCAAATTGAAAATAATGATTTTGTAGCATTCTCGGACTAATCCATTCCTGGACACATGGAATCCGACATGATGAGAAAGAACATGGATTTTATCTTTATGTTACATGGCTTCATCATATCCCATGTAATCATGCTCGAATGCAATCAACACTCAATTAGTGTCATGCATTTGTTAACGAGTTCATTGATTTCCTTTGATATTGCAATACATGTAAATGGACAGTTCTCTGTATAGATATGGACTATTAGAGGGATTGGAGCATGATTGTGTTTTGAAATTCCAATCACCAACAAAGATATATTTCACATCTATGAAGCAATTCTTGTGTTGAAATAGTCAAGCTACAAGCCCTTGTGCCCCCCCCCCCCTCACCGCTACAATTGTGTGAGAAGGTGTTAAGCGAGTAGAGGGAGGGGGTCACAGAGGCTTGTAGCTTGACTATGTGGAAAACTACAGAGGGGGTTATACTATGTAAAAGTTTACAATTACCCAATTATTCTTTTGTTTTATTGTTGTAAATGTTCAGAGTTTTAAGTGAACCTGGAGTAAAAAGTAAAAACTGAATGGCTTCATGTATATAGGAGCTGAATTTGATAGGACCATTAATTATACATGTGAATTATTAATTATACATGTGAATTATTAATTATACATGTGAATACTTGTGCATGAGACATCTGTTTCAAGTATGCGTTAACTGAACTTGTTATTGAGATATTTTTTATTATATTACCTTTTATTATTGATAGTGATTGATGTATATGTATTTTCATAATCAGTCCAAGGCACATGCCCAAGAAATACCCCTTAGTATATTTACTGGGGTAATTGGAGGAAATTGGAAATTTTTGTTGGGAATTTGTGCTAAACTTGAATTACTTTAGAGGCCTCACTATCATCTTGTCGCAAATCCAAAATGAAAATGCATTAAACATTTTTGTTGCGTAGTCTTGCATTTGAGTTCTGGAGACTGGTGATAATTCATGAGGCCTCGATCATGTATTTACTCCTGGTGTGTTATACAATAAATTCCTACCAAATTATGTCTACTTAACGAAAGTCAATGCAATAATTTTATTTTTATATATCTGTGTATGAGACATCCTTCTGTTTTCTTAACTCATTGCGAGTTAAGAATTACTCCTTTTAAAATTGTCAACAGTTCACTAACACTGGTCCCAACCTGGTTATAAAAACTAGCTACCTAGCTTTTCAGTCACCAGATGTTACTAAAAACACACAGGTGAAATATTTGGACACAAATCAACCTCCTTCTTGGTGAAAATAATGAAAAGATTTCCTCTAATGGAAGTTCCACCCCCCACCCACCTCATTTTGTAAACACCTCATCTCAAGTCTAGGAGTGCACTTATTGGAGTCAGAGGGGGAGGGGGTCAGAGACTCAATGCAATACTAGGAGATTTCTCATTTGGCATTTGGGAGATAATCTAAATAAGATGTTCATTTAGTTGATGTGACCATTGTATTGTTTGTTAAAGTCCCCGTCTAAAGTTTGAAAATATTTTTTTATCATTCATTTACTATTTGTCACGACTTAAAAAGTGATTTTAGAGATTTTTGAACAAAAAAAATTTTTGAAAAAAAAGTTGTGAGCATTTCATTTCTCAAATATTCAAATTTCCCGCCATTTTCCAAATAAAGTTGAAATTTCTTAATCATCAAATATTTCTTAATGCATTTCAAAAAAAGATTATCTTTTTAACACCAACGCAAAGATTGAACAAAAGACACACTATTTCAATAGTAAAATGTCATATTTAATGGGCCATTTCAATGTTTTAGCTTATCAAAAATATTTTGAAACATTAGTGATGTCACTAAGGTAACAAAAACTTTTTAAAAAAAATTGAATTTTTTTTTCGATGTCAATCTTTTCTAAATATTCTAGACTTTCATGAAAAACCAATGTTGATTGTCTAACCAGGTTAAAAGGAAGAATAAATTATGTTTTTAGATATCATTGTACAATTGGTTTCTATGAGAACTAAAATTTTGAAATGCATTTTTCTCAGAACCATTTTCATGCACTGATAAGTTCATTTCTCGCTTGTTTATCAACCGATTTTCTTAATTCTTTCGGCAAAAAACATGGGAGGATGAATGCTATGCATTGGTATGAATTGAGGCTAATTAGAAGATATGAGTGACCTCTAAAAGTTGGTTTTAAATAAATTCACAAATTATGGAACAAAAAGTCTATCAAAAACCACTTTTTGAAATTTAAAAAAAAAAAAAAAAGTTTCACATATCACACTTTGATAACATTGGGTAAGACTACAATATAAGCCAAAGTGGTTTAAACTTTACATGGGGCCTTTAATAGAAATATATCCATCTTTATTTTTGATGAATTGATTCTTAATTATACTTTCATATGTACCTCGTGTACTGCATTCATGAGCCTAATTCTGAGGACTGACTGTGTCTGTTTAGGAATTATGAGGACCCAAACTGTAAGAATTATAAGATAGGCCTACAATAAAGCTCTCAAAACATAAGAAATTCAAGTATCTCCCTTAGGATAGTAATCCCTGCTCTAAAGTAAAGGGTTCAAACACAAGGAGAGCAATGAGCATATACATAAGAAGTTATCGGTGTAGTCTCAAGCCCCTGAGATGACCCCCCCCCCACATTACAACAATTCTCTTTGTGAGAAGGTGTTTAGTCATGGGGGGTCACAGAGGCTTGTAGCTAGACTAGTGTTGGTGCTATGGGTAGATCACAAAATATAGAAGTCAGAAATATTGTTGATGGATATGTTTCTACAAGATATGATATGTACAAATAATAAATGATGATTATTGATGCATGCGATTGTCAAGTAAAATGGTATACTGTAAAAGCAAAATAAAATGCAAACAATAAAATTTTTATGTTCAAAGTGTCTTGATTTATGCCTTATTATTGCCAGTGTGACAGGAATGCCTATTATAAAAAAAACAATGCAGGGCTCATGCGTATATAGGCTATTGAACTCATGTGGTACAGTATATAACTAGAGAGCTGTGGTATATAGGCTAGTGAGCTCATGTGGTATATAGACTAGTGAGCTCATGTGGTACATAGGCAAGTGAGCTCATGTGGTTTATAGGCAAGAGAGTTCATCTAGTATATAGGCTAGTGAACTCATGTAATATATAGGCTAGTGAGCTCATGTGCTATATAGGCAAGTGAGCTCACTTGGTATATAGACTAGTGAGCTCGTGGGGTATATAGGCAAGTGAGCTCATGTGGTATATAGGCTAGTGAGCTCATGTGCTATATAGGCAAGTGAGCTCACTTGGTATATAGGCTAGTGAGCTCATGCGGTATATAGGCAAGTGAGCTCATGTGGTATATAGGCTAGTGAGCTTATTTGGCATATAGGCTAGTGAGCTCATGTGCTATATAGGCAAGTGAGCTCTCTTGGTATATAGGCTAGTGAGCTCATGCGGTAAATAGGCAAGTGAGCTCATGTGGTATATAGGCTAGTGAGCTCATGTGGTATATAGGCCAGTGACATTATGTGGAATATATGCGAGTGAGCTCATTTGGTATATAGGCTAGTGAGCTTGTGTGGTATATAGGCTAGTGAGCTCATTTGGCATATAGGCTAGTGAGCTCATGTGGTATATAGTCAAGTGAGCTCATTTAGTATATAGGCTAGTAAGCTCAAGTGGTATATAGGCTAGTGAACTCATGTGGTTCATAGGCTAGAGAACTTATATTCCTCAAACTTTTATCCATTTTATGCTGGTCCAATAATAAAGTTTGTACATATGATAATTTAAATCAGTTACATTTTTTTCTAATATAGTTGTATGATTGTCTAAATAGATTTATGACTATTATAGATATCTTATACAGTTATGGATTCTTATACAGTTATGGATATGCCTTTTATCCCCTAATGTTGGGGACAGTGACTTTGTTTTCTGTTATCAGTTTTTCATTGAAAATAATGAAAATGACTAAAGTACATGTATATGCAGCGAGATAGCAAGTAACAAATTTTGTTTTTATTATTATGTAGTCACATAGATCATTATAATACAGTATATATGAAACACTATATTCTCAATAAAATACTTTCTACATTATACAAAATATGTTATGTTTATCAATTTGTACGCATAAAAGGGAAAGGACCAAGCAAGAAAAAAAACAATGAAGTCTACATAAATCATATTGGAAAACAAACCCCAACTATCCAAAACCATAATCCAATGTGAAAAAATATTGTTGCCTAATCTTCTGTATATTAGAACAATATCCATCAGGCTAAATTTGCCTCACCTGTTTGTTGTATCAAATAATATATTATTCTGTAGTTTAAACATAAAACACAATATAAATAATATAATACTGATCATATACCATGAAACGAAAAGCCCCCTCAAACTCTCTGCACTCTGTGTACCAATTTGCTTGGTCCTCAGACTGAGAGTGGGAATAGGCAATGGGGTGAATTTTTTTTTCTATCTGTTCCAATTCCTGTGATATAGATAAAGTGCATGCAAAATTAATAACCTTTTTACGTAGTTGTCAATCTTCATTCCAAAGGATCTGTATCAGTATAATCCCATGGGCGTATGGCTATATTTTGACTTGGTCACGGGTGTCGGGGGGGGGGGGGGGGGTATGCTCCCCCGCGAATTTTTCTTTCAAGGATGTTATTTAATGAAATCTAAGCGTTTTTATCAACTTATAAATGTTGACAATGGTAAACATACAGATACGATAGGAAGCATCAATAAATTCGCAAATAAATTAATGCATTTTAACAGATTTTTAATTGTTTTCAAATTCATTTGGTACGCCTGTGCGTATTTTGCGTAATAGGCGATACGCCCATGAATCCAGGCAGCTTATAGCAGAACTTCCCACTATCTGAATAGTAAGTTTCCACGCCCGGGATTAGCACGTACTTTTTGTACTAAACGAAATACTGAACCTGGAACTATTTTTTTGATTTGCAATCACATGACTAAATTAATACCCATTGATTGTTTTGAAATATTATTTATTAACGATATAAATTTATTGAAAACCATCATATAGAGTGTAAAATTCATATTTTTTTGGCGCTAACATAAATTGTAGTGAAAATGTATTTTTTCCTTTGTGTGAACATGATTTGATTTGATGAATTTTATCTCAACTCGCAAGGTTTTAGCGGTAAACAACATAAACAAGAAGAGGCCATTTTGTTGACATTCGAGTGCCTGGTGTAACTAAAACGAAAGTCATTTTTTCTAACAATACAGACGTCTGATAAGACAAAATGAAGTGGGAATACAAGGAGGAACATGCATTTGAGAAAAGGAGGGCAGAAGGAGAGAAGATTAGAAAGAAGTATCCCGATAGAGTACCCGTAAGTGAACATAATTTATGACGTAGCATTTTCAGCTTTGATGAAGGAAGTCAAAATCAAAACAAACATCTAATTATAAAGTGTACAGTCGCATCTATGATAAAAATCCAATAAACTATAGCAACTATTTCTCCACTATATGTTTAACTATTCGAGGTGATTTCAAAGGAATTCATATTGTCTAGATAGAGAAATCGTGATTTTTGGAATGGCTATGATTTTACAGAAATTCCACCTCAGATCAAAGATGGCTGATGATTGAATCAGCTGATTGCACAATAACATCCCAATAATCATAATCATCATCATCAGAATTGTTCATGAAGTGACTTTTGTATTTGATTTACCCTTGTAGATTATATGTGTTCGTAATATGCTGTGAATAAATATTGTGAACATTTGAAAGCAGGATAGAAAAGCAAAGCAAAACAGCAGATCAAATTCTTTTGTTCCAAAATGAAACTGAAACTTTCTCTCTAGGTCTAGGATAGTCATTTTTAAAAATAACTACTAAAGGCAGATTTGTTGAATCCAAATGCATGCTTCTCCATGTTGCTGTAATTTGTTGCATTCAAGTAACTAATTTTGATGCATTCAAGTAACTTATCTTATTAAACTATTGTTCTTATTTTCAGGTGATAGTTGAGAAAGCTCCAAAGGCAAGAGTTGGTGATCTTGACAAGAAGAAATATCTTGTACCATCTGATCTTACTGTTGGACAATTTTATTTCCTAATTCGTAAAAGGATTCATCTTAGAGCTGAAGATGCTTTATTCTTTTTTGTGAACAATGTGATTCCTCCAACCAGTGCTACCATGGGTGCCCTCTATCAGGTAATATTTCATATGTTGACTCTGGGTTTCAAATTGATAAAAGAATTTATGGTATATTTGACATGTATAAACTTTACATGTGTTTACCTTTGGTCTTCATTAAGAGCAGGGGTTTCAGTCTGGCAATAGGCATAAGATGAACAGGCAAAATTATTTTTATATAGAAGCTACTAACTTCTACTTTTCATAGAAGCAGTCTGTTGATTTAAATATAATTCCTTAAAAAATATATTATGTATCAATCTTTCAAATTGGTTTATAGTAAATTGACTTTATTTTATTTTTCAGGAGCATCATGAAGAAGACTTTTTCCTGTATATTGCATACAGTGATGAGAGTGTGTATGGTGCATAGATGGAATACTACAGTCACAGTTCATGAGACTTAATAAACAATCAATAGAGGACATGGTTACCTGAATATTTCCCTGTTTTTTTCTGCCTCTTTCAACACCTTGGTTGCCACATGGTTACCATAGATATATTTCTCATATTCTTGTCAACAGTCAAAATAAGCCAAATCATTTACTGTCTTGTTGTCAATATTTCAGCTGATTGGAACTGTTTATTTCTAAGCAGATGTAAATATTTATATTAGTGTATATTATTATTATTATATTGAAGACATTGTGCAGTTGACATTGATACAAATGATTTATTATATATCATTCACTAGACCTCCATTGTTTTGATTTGTTTTTGTTATCAAGATTACATTTTTCAGGAACTTTTTACTTCTAAGTGCTTAGCTTTCCTAATGTCCTAAGAGCATAGTGCAATACTGGCAAACTAGTACAGCTTACCCCTCTTCTATAATTATCAATCTACCTTTTCTATCTACTGATCAAGTGCCATGAGTGATTTTTAGGGCAAATTTATTTTAGGTTAGGTTTAATATATGAAGTCATTAGTGTGAGGTCAATTTGTTTTAGGAGTTTAAGAGGGGGAAATAACCAAGAACTCAAAGATGAACCTGTCTTCATGTAAAAATGATTTTCTCACCTGTTCATATCTAAATTCTGGGTTATTCCTTCTCTTGTGCACTGGTGATCCACTCGATTACGCTGGTTACCAAAACGGTTCGTTTTGGTAACAAAATGTCGGAACATCCGGAAGGTACGATTTTTCTCGTTTCCTTATTTTACACGTTGTAGGCAGAATTCCCACGACATTTTTTAACACAAACGTGTATCAGTATCATAAGTTTAAGAAAGTGTACATATTTGCGAACAAATAGTTCAGAAGACAACAGAATCGTCGATTTACTTCCTCATTTAAGTTACATAAACGGTTTGGGTTAAAAGTGCAGATCTTAACTGTTTTTCGAAAAACCGTTTCTGTAACTTAAGTGAGGAAGTAAATCGACGATTCTGTTGTCCTCTGAGCTATTTTTTAGCAAACATGTACATTTTCTAAAACATATGATACTGATGCACGTTGTGAGAAAAAACGTCGTGGGGATTCTGCCTACAACGCGTGAAATAAGGAAAAAAGAAAAATCGTGCCTTCGACGTTCCGACATTTTGTTACCAAAACGGTTCGTTTTGGTAACCAGCGTAATCGAGTGGATCACCAGTGTTGTGTGTAATCATAGTAGTATGTGAGCATTTACTTATTAGATCAGAAGTCCATCACTCAAAATTTTGAATCTGTAACAAACCTAACAAAAATGTCATTCCTATCACATAACATTTAAACATCTATTTTCAGTTGGTAATCATAATTTTAAATGGCCAAGTTATGAACCTGTATTTGATGTCAGCACGCAAATTTGCTATCACTTTACTTTTTACTTGGTCAACCATAACAGTGTGTCATCTCCATTCTTCATCTGGTGAATGCTTAATTAGAAACTGTAAAGGGTATAGCACATCAACCAATCACTTCTGTAAATAGACAGGAATAACAGATACGTCAAACCACTGTATGTATGTACACTTGCAGTATGCTATAATGTTGTATTTAAGGGGTATATAATAAAGTATGTGTAAATAACATAAATTACAAATAGTATTGTTATGTATTGCATTATCGAATATGGATGTGGTTGAACAATTTGCATACTTTTTATGTCTCTTGTGATATTGTTTAATTACTGGAAAACTTCTAATTAATTAATTTGTTTATTTAATTATTATCAATCGGAAGTGGTCCTTACTCCTACTGTTTGAGAAATCCACAATGGTCTCCTGTACACTTGCCTGCTCTCCTACAGCTCCATTACACTCCTAATAATAGGGAAGTTGAGATGGTAACAAAAATGACCTACCCTATATTAGTACTGTAATTATAGGTTTTAAACTGATTGAAAGATGGCAGTAGTAGTTATCTATCTTCGCTTTGAATAGATGTCTGAAAGGTTTTTACTTACTTTACAAAAGCATACAGTAATAAATCTAGCTGGACAAGATAATTGCTAAGAAATCTCTCTGTGATGTCATAAAAATGAATTACAATGCTAAATGAAAAATATACACATGTAGTTGCAGGCAGGTTGAAGGTGTTGATTCGCGTTTGAATGTTTTTTTTTCATAAAACTGGCAATTGACTCTGTATACTTTTTATCTAATGGAATAAACGCACGTGAAAATCACTCAGGAGTGACTGTAAATAGAGGTTTTTCAGGTAAGCTTTGACTGAACTATTTTTATAATACAATGAACCTCTTTACGACATGAAATATCAATATCTTATAAATGGATTTTTGGCTCACATGAAATGGAATCACACCTGGGTATCCATCATCACAGGCCGTGAAATGAGAGCAAAAATAAATTGATCAAAGTATTTCAAAGAGTTACATTCATCTCGTCTCTATTCTTTCAGTCCTTAAAATATTACCCCCTTAAAGTAAAATTTAAAATGCTTTGAACTACTTCGAATCTAAAAAATAAGCAATTAAAGGACCATATTGAAACAGGATATGTAAAAATAGAAACATTTATACATGTCCTAACTTTTGTATATTTTAGTTTGTTTTGTAGTTAGCTATCATATCTGTGGCCTCTTATATTTTGATGCTTCTCTGATATGTTATTTTCGAAAATATTAACATGACTGAAACTCCCTAAATTACAAAAGGCCACATCTTTGCTGCACATTATACTACATAACTATCTGAAATATACAAAAGTTAGGACTTGTACATATGTTTCCACTTTTTCGTATACTGTTGCAATATAGTCATTTGATTGCTTATTTTTGAAATTCAAAGTAGTTCCAAAAATTTTGAATTTTACTGTCAAAGCAATTTTACTTTAGTAATTGTATAGTAGCTAAGTCACATTAGCCGTGTGGCACTCCTGTTGTCCACAGTATACACCTGGTCATGGGACATCGTATCAAACGTGATTATGAAATTTTAGATCTCGCTGGTTCAACTACCCTTTGCATTCGTTCGACTTCACTTCTTAAAAGAGAGCTTCGTCTTCGTAGTTTATAACTAGACTCTGCGCGCAGGGTATGACAGGGTAACCTGAATATCTTTGTAAATAAACATTATTTGTGCTAAAGTACAGTGAACTTACACATAATGGAACAGAACCAGGATTGGAGGTATTGATTGCGAACCGACCAAGGACAAACTATTGGACGTTTGTTGTTATGTGAATATTGGTAACGTGCTTACCTTATCACGAAATATTTATGCGATATTCAAGGTATATACATGCATGAGATAATGATATATGTACATATATATATATAAGAGACATATTTAAATAAGAGAGAGTGGTTATATACTGGTATAGGGTATGTAACTCACCTGTGATTGAGGAAAATACAGAGTTATTATATATTACAGCAATTAACGAACGGTAGGCAGCTGGATTGGTAGGCTATTCAATGATAAGCTGTAACATGATTTCTGGTCAATAAATTAACAGAAATACTACCAATATTCGTGACTGCTTTTTGTTCAGGTAGTAAATCGACACCAATCCTGACTGTAGAGGATAGTATTCATTGTCCTGCATGTACAAACAATTTATAGAGGCCACTGGAGCAGAGATGTCTTCAGACTTCATATTCAGACAGGTAGGACATATTATATTGCTACACGTCTGATTAGTTTTCCTTTATGATGAGTGCCTCAATTTGTCACTAAATCATTGTCAAAATCACTAATAATCGCTTCACATTTTAACAGATTTATCTTGTCCAGAAGTAGTAATTTATAAAGTCGCTAAGGGCGCTACTAGTGACAAGGAACTCCAAATTCCACAAATATACATTAGTGGGGTTATCCAATCGTTTCACAAAATATAACTCCCAGAACATATTGGAAAATCCAACAGCTTATAAATAATATTGCAAAAGGAACAAAATCAAAAAGCTAACACCACTGCACCAATGACGAATAAACATGTATCAAGGTCGAACAATAACATCAGCAGGGAAGCATCAAAATATCGAGGATGCTCCAAGTTTCTTAGCCAAACCACAAACAATCAAACGTTCAAGATATACAAGCGTTTTATAAATATTATGTACCAGTATTTTACCATAAAGTTCGGTTCATTATACATTTATTTCAATCATATTGTAGTCAAAAGAGTTACACAGGTCGCTACCTAGCGCAATGTGCATTACAGGCTAGCGTTTTGAAATGAATATAAATTAAATGAATTAAATTAATTGAGTGAGTTATACATATGTACCATAAAGTGGTCCCTTGATTGTCTATTTTGGGGTTTGCCAGACTTATAGTTTCATTCCCTTGCACTATACGTCCGAGGGCTGGGCTAGAAGTCTTAAGCAAATGTGGTTAATTATCAAACTGTATATATAAGAAAACATTTTGGTCGTTGAAAAGTCCATTTTTATTTTCAGCTTTTCGATAGGGAGTCATGCACGTACACATATTTACTGGCAGACGGTGGCACAAAAGAAGCTATCGTCATAGATCCAGTCATTGAAATGGTGAGAAACTGTTACTGAGACTATTGTTAAAATATCGTATGTTTGCCATACATTTTATACCAAAGAGAATATATTGAGTGGGCTATTCTGAATTTCCCCTTTCGTATTGATTGAACACTGTAGATGAAACAAACAAAAATCATATGTTTATATGTCAAGTCGCTAGACCCCAATCTTTAATTTCTTATGGAAGTCAAAAATCATTTCTTTGAAAACGTAATATATTTCGGATTGTATGTATATGATCTCTTTCAAGGTTGACAGAGATATCGAACAATTAGAAGGGCTAGGGCTGAAACTTTTATATGCAAGTGAGTGAGCCCTACGATTTCTTTCAAATCATTTCTTTCTCTTCATCAGATGAAACGTCTCCATACCACCAATCCGTTACCATCTACTCTCCTAAGTTATTTAGTTATTCTAATGTGCTCTGTTCATAGATGATCTATCTAGGGAATGTGTATAACTAAGCTAGCATTAGCGAATTCAACCGCCGGCTGTTGGCTGACGATTTAATCCGATATTTCATGACCAACTCCTTGAAATATGAATATGAACAGTAGCAGGCACTACTCATATTTAAACTAGTTGGCCATAAAATAGCGGATTAAACCGTCAGCCGACAGCTGGCGGTTGAATGTAATATATTATTAGTCCATTATAATTTTAGTCAACACACACGTCCACGCTGACCATGTTACTGGGTCTGGTATGCTTAAGAAGAAGACTGGGTGCAAGACAGCAATAGCCAAAGTCAGCACTGCTGAGGGAGACCTTAAAATTGGTGCTGGAGATGAATTCACATTTGGAAAATACGTAAGTGTCTCCTTGGGTTATTATAGCAAGTGAAGTATAGTATGGACTCAGTGTACAGTTAGTGTATCATGGATTGCCATGACAACCCCTTAGTTTAATATTGCTGTGGTAACCATGGTAAGGAAATGCGATGAATTTAAGAATGCAGTGTAAAAATGAAACATGAACCCGTCAGAGGAAAATTTAGGACTAAAACGTGACTTAAAAATAAAAAGAATAGTATCTTATCTCGATCTTCCAAAGTATACACCTGTCTCAATAACCAAGGTGACCGTGTTCTTTAAGTAAACTGGTATAGGGCGAACCTACTTATTTTTATATTTTAATGTGATCTTCGCACTACAGGGTGGTCCAAAAAATTGGAACATTTGATAATTGAGCTCAAAATCGTTATTTTTTCTCTAAAGTGCACCAAAATTTTACTGAGTATTGTACAATCACTTATTTATCTGATGTAAAGTTTATAGGTGCAAACAACAAAGTTAATGCATTAAACTAGAGAATGTTTGATATGACCCACTTTCTCCTGAATTACAAGTTGAAGCCTGGGACTCAGTTTTGAAATGATTCATTCACTTTGCTGTTCGTTTGATTTTGTCCAAGCCATCGTGATTAAAAAATTCAGCTTGAACAAACTACTTATATGTTTGCCTTGGAAGATCAAATATATGAACGTATTCAACATTTTTTTACCCAAATTGATGGGTATCAAGCATATTTTGATGGCTATTATATTGTTGGATATATTACTGATTGAATATTCTCCAGAAAGAGGCCAGGGCAGTCTGTTTTGACTGGTAAATGAACCCCCCCCCCATTTCTTGTTCTAATATTAATAATATTCATTGAATATATCAATATATGTATATCAATATCATAAAGGAGTTTCCCAGAACATGATATATTATATTATATGTGATTGGAGGTGGTCTTTAATAAAGCCTTGTAAATAACTGGTCAGTTTTCCCTCTACCATCTTCGCACGCTCGGTCTTCACTGCGTTCATAGGCGGGACCCGAGTGAACGGTATCTCACTTTAAGTAGCGGTCACACTAGCCGTGTAGGCTCACCGTTCGCCACCGTGTGGCTAATTATGGCCAGACGGCGGTGCACGGTATGGCCACACGGTGGGTCGTTTCCCGCCCGTTGAGAAACGTTCAGGGAACGTTGCCGTCCATCCACACCCGGCGAATTTTTTGAGCATGCTCAAAACTTTTCCCGTTTGAGTAACGTTCGGTTGCGAACGGTGATAGCGGTACGGGAATGGTATAAGGACGGTGCAGCCGTTAAGGACACGTTCGCAGAGCGGTAATGGGACGATGGTGGACGTTGACTCTATCAGTGACGGGCTGCGAACGAGAGTGTACCGCTTGGGTACCGTCCGATAAACGAGGTTCAAACGGGGGTTTGAAAGGTCACATAAAAAGGGTTTTCACGGTACCAGCCGCTTAACGCTTAGGTAACAGTCCATTAACGTGTTAACGGCCTTATAACTGCTCCATAACATCCTCTAAACATCCTAATACCGTGAACTCGCAATTGTACCGCCTCGTGACGCAGTGTTGTCACCGTGTTCTGCCGTTTCAACAATTTTGCCTCCAGTTTATTTAAATATTCAGGTATTGTCCAAGGTTTTGTCCCGTAACTCGAGACATCAATTTTTCGACTTTCTCATTTGTACTTTGAAGCCACAAATCCACTCAAACCACTTTGACAGAGATTCTTTTGAAGACACTGAGAAAAACAAGTTACAAATATATTTCTTTTATCATACACGAAGAAAATAAATAAATTGCAAAAATGATTAAAGCTCAAATAAAAGTGAAAATAAATGTCCAGTTAGCATTATAAGCCAAACTTCGAACTATCAACTGTTTTATGCATTTTACGTGATCTTTCTGTTCACGTTACCGTCCATCAAAAAGTTGTGAAAGCTTTATTTCTCATTAATTAAAAATTAATAGGGTGGAGGAAGAGCCGATTTCTGTCAGAAAATTCAATAAAACTGCAATATTCATGTTCATGACAACTTAACGTTCACCCATTAATCCCTTAATGATTAAACTACGGTATAACAAAGATGTGAAGTCTTCCGTGAATTTTCGAGTGATACCCTTCTGAGTTATTCGATTAATTTAAAAAGGCGCGACGTCACCAGCGTGCAAAAAGTCAATATTTTTTGGTATATAACTCAAACGACGCAGGTCTAAGACCTGTAATATATACGTTGACGCAATTATCACAAAATATATGTAGTTGCCGTTTTACAAAACGTTATAAAAATAATATAAAACACCGCCGTCTTTTTTCGAAATCAAATAAGATTTGGCATATTTTTATTAGTGATTCAATAAACTGACTTCAATTCCAATTCGAGTACAGTTCACTTCGAATCCCTCCATTTTAATGAGGAAAAATATTTCTAAACGTTGGAGGGGAGTAAAGGTTCAATCTGTACCTTCCAATAACGCTTTGCGTAAAATGTAATGTCAAAACAAATAGTTACCCCTCAGAGCAATTAGTTTCAAAACGTATAGTAAAAACGTAAAACGTGATATGGTCGGATGAAATATAGATATTGCATGTTTGTCTACCAAAGTTGGTCAGGTTCTCGAGACCTATTCATTTTCAACGTATTTTCATGGAATAAACATACTAACTATTACAGAGAAAGACTTAACTCGGTTAACCCAACTAGCTGCTTACAGGATGGACAAGCTATGTGGCCACATTGTACAGTTAAATATAGACAAACTTGTAATGTTATTGAACATAATTAAGATGTATAAGCAAATTAATTATATAAATCATTTAGCTTTGAACACGTGGATGGTTGAGCATACATTCCAAAAAGTGAGTTAAATATTGTGAGCGTTTGCATGACGCCATCAAGGCGGTTCGGCCGATATCCAGGCGTTCCGGCCGGTGAAAACCTGGTGAGGGGATGGTATGCGCCAGTTGAGAACACGGCGAGAACGGTAAGCAAGAAATCTGAAACACGGTAAGTCCGGTACAAGGCCGATGAGAAGCCGGTACAGACCCGGAATAGAACGGTATAGTCCCGGTCAAAAATGTATAAAAACAATGCGGCCGTCGCCGTCTGGCCATAATTAGCCAAACGGTGGCGAACGGTGAGCCTACACGGCTAGTGTGACCGCTACTTTAGTAGCTGTATGGGTTAAGTAGCGGTCACACTAGCCGTGTAGGCTCACCGTTCGCCACCGTGTGGCTAATTATGGCCAGACGGCGGTGCACGGTATGGCCACACGGTGGGTCGTTTCCCGCCCGTTGAGAAACGTTCAAGGAACGTTGCCGTCCATCCACACCCGGCGAATTTTTTGAGCATGCTCAAAACTTTTCCCGTTTGAGTAACGTTCGGTTGCGAACGGTGATAGCGGTACGGGAATGGTATAAGGACGGTGCGGCCGTTAAGGACACGTTCGCAGAGCGGTAATGGGACGATGGTGGACGTTGACTCTATCAGTGACGGGCTGCGAACGAGAGTGTACCGCTTGGGTACCGTCCGATAAACGAGGTTCAAACGGGGGTTTGAAAGGTCACATAAAAAGGGTTTTCACGGTACCAGCCGCTTAACGCTTAGGTAACAGTCCATTAACGTGTTAACGGCCTTATAACTGCTCCATAACATCCTCTAAACATCCTATTACCGTGAACTCGCAATTGTACCGCCTCGTGACGCAGTGTTGTCACCGTGTTCTGCCGTTTCAACAATTTTGCCTCCAGTTTATTTAAATATTCAGGTATTGTACAAGGTTTTGTCCCGTAACTCGAGACATCAATTCTTCAACTTTCTCATTTGTACTTTGAAGCCACAAATCCACTCAAACCACTTTGACAGAGATTCTTTTGAAGACACTGAGAAAAACAAGTTACAAATATATATATATATAAAAGTGAAAATAAATGTCCAGTTAGCATTATAAGCCAAACTTCGAACTATCAACTGTTTTATGCATTTTACGTGATCTTTCTGTTCACGTTACCGTCCATCAAAAAGTTGTGAAACCTTTATTTCTCATTTACACGACCAATTATATAAGAAAAAATTAATAGGGTGGAGGAAGAGCCGATATCTGTCAGAAAATTCAATAAAACTGCAATATTCATGTTCATGACAACTTAACGTTCACCCATTAATCCCTTAATGATTAAGCTACGGTATAACAAAGATGTGAACCGTGAATTTTCGAGTGATACCCTTCTGAGTTATTCGATTAATTTAAAAAGGCGCGACGTCACCAGCGTGCAAAAAGTCAATATTTTTTGGTATATAACTCAAACGACGCAGGTCTAAGACCTGTAATATATACGTTGACGCAATTATCACAAAATATATGTAGTTGCCGTTTTACAAAACGTTATAAAAATAATATAAAACACCGCCGTCTTTTTTCGAAATCAAATAAGATTTGGCATATTTTTATTAGTGATTCAATAAACTGACGTCAATTCCAATTCGAGTACAGTTCACTTCGAATCCCTCCATTTTAATGAGGAAAAATATTTCTAAACGTTGGAGGGGAGTAAAGGTTCAATCTGTACCTTTCAATAACGCTTTGCGTAAAATGTAATGTCAAAACAAATAGTTACCCCTCAGAGCAATTAGTTTCAAAACGTATAGTGGAGAGGTTAAGCAAATACGGTTTTTCAAAACGTATACGTTAACGCAAAGTATATTGAATCAACATAGGATTGTATCGCTTTAGTCTACTTCAGATACCCGTTCAACTTCAAAGTTGCGTGTTTAGAACGGGAGATTTTAAATTTCGCGTTGCTATCAACGGGAATCATTATACTCATGTCTGTTGAATACTATCCTTGCAATTTTGATTTCGATGCAGAGTATACTTCTTTCTGAAGAAGATGAATGTACTGTATGTTACGCATGATTTAACTCCAATAATCTTACGAAACGAGCTCGTTTAAAATATGTATTAGAAAACCAGCTATTGAACTTCATCAATGGGATACTATGTAAT